CCCCTCTTTTCCCAGGAAATACTGAGCCTGATCCAGGGATTTGGCTGCTTTGTATCCCAGGATGGGCTGGGGGCTGGGGACATCCCACCAAAGATGTCCATGGAGAATTTTGGGATGTTTTTGGGGGACTGATCCAGGTGGGTTTGAGGTGTCAAGGAGGAATTTTGTGGGAATGAAGCTTTGGAAGTGAAAAGCTTGGAAGAGAAGTGGGAAAAAGCTCTGGAGCTCTCAGGTTTGGGGGTTCAAAAATCAACATAAAAGCCCCCAAAACAACACAACAGCAACAAAAAAAGAGGCAAAACCTGGGAAAAAAACATGGCAAAACCCAAAAAAAGGGGGAAAACCTGTGGGAAAGAAGTGGAAAATGTGAAAAAATGAGGCAAAATTAAAAAAGAAAAAAAAGCAAAACTCCTCCTTGGGGTGAGCCCGGTTTAACATGTGCCCTCGGGCATCTGGAACTGGTGCAGGAATTTGGGATTTCCTGCCAAGGCAGGAATTTCCTGGGCGAGTCACTCCCAGGAAAAAAAGAATTCCAGGTGAGGTCGGGGCTGCTCACCTTGGACCCCTCCAGAGGGGGTTTTATCCCTAAAAAACGTGGATTTGGGGTGAAATCCGGCCCGAAGTGCTGATGTTGAGCCCTCAGAGCTGTTGGAGGTGTAAAATGGGATTTAGCCAGAATTTGTGGCAGGAATCTGGACCCAAATTTGGGAGAGGAGGAATCTGGAGGAAAATGGGATTTATCCAGAATTTGTGGCAGAAATACCAACCCAGTTTTGGGAGAGGAGGAATACGAAGAAAAATGGGATTTATCCAGAATCTGTGGCCAGAATCCCAAGCCAGTTTTGGGATTGGAAAGGAGGAATCTGAAGGAAAATGGGATTTATCCAGATTTTCTAGCAGAAATACCAACCCAGTTTTGGGAGAGGAGGAACAGGAAGGAAAATGGGATTTATCCAGAGGTTATGGCTGGAATCCCAACCCCATTTTGGGATTGGAGAGGAGGAATATGAAGTAAAATGGGATTTATCCAGAGTCTGTGGCAGGAATCCCAACCCAAATTTGGGAAAGGAGGACCATGAAGGAAAATGGGATTTATGCAGAATTTGTGGCAGGAATCTGGACCCAGTTTTGGGGGAGGAGGAACACAAAGGAAAATGGGATTTATCCAGAATTTGTGGCCAGAATCCCAAGCCAGTTTTGGGATTGGAGAGGAGGAACATGAAGGAAAATGGGATTTATGCAGGGTTTGTGGTTGGAATCCCAACCCAGTTTTGGGAGAGGAGGAACAGGAACAGGAAGGAAAATGGGATTTATCCAGAGTTCGTGGCTGGAATCCCAGTCCTGCTCTGAGGTTGGAGGGAATCCAGAGCTGCTCCCGAGCATATATATGTATTTATTTTCCCATATATATATATGTATTTATTTTCCCATATATATATGTATTTATTTTCCCATATATATATATGTATTTATTTTCCCATATATATATATATGTATTTATTTTCCCATATATATATGTATTTATTTTCCCATATATATATATGTATTTATTTTCCCATATATATATATGTATTTATTTTCCCATATATATATATGGATTTATTTTCCCATATATATATATATATATGGATTTATTTTCCCATATATATATATATGGATTTTCCCATATATATATATATGGATTTTCCCATATATATATATATATGGATTTTCCCATATATATATATATGGATTGATTTTCCCATATATATATATATATGGATTTATTTTCCCATATATATATATGTATTTCTTTTCCCATTAATGTATATATATGGATTTATTTTCCCATATATTAAAACATATATATATTTAGGGATTTGTTTCCCCATATATATGTAGGAATTTATCTTCCCATACGTGTATTTATTTATTTATTTCCCTATATATATATATATTTATTTATTTTCCCATATAATTTTCCCATTTTTCCCTGGCAGCTGATTTTTTTTTCACTAATTTCAATAACCCCAGCCCATGCCCATGATTATTTTCTTTTATTTTTCCGCCAAATTTTGGGATGAAAAACCCAAAAGCCCCAATCTGGAACAAATTCTTCCCCCGCTTTAACTCTATTTTTTGCCCCATTTTTAATTCTCCTTTTTGCCCCGTTTTTAATTCTCCTTTTTGCCCCGTTTTTAATTCTCCTTTTTGCCCCTTCTAGCTCTATATTTTTTCCCCCCATTTTAATTCTATTTTTCTTTGGTGTCATTTGTGTTTAGGTGGGTTTTTTTTGGTGTTTGTGGTTTTTTTTATGACTTATTGAGGAAAAAAAATTTAAAATTCTCCACCTACTCTCAGTCAAGAATTGAGCAGCTCGGGTTGGCATTAATTTGTGGCAAATCACGGGAATTTGGGGATAATTGGAGCAGGAAGGATGAGATTTCCCTCCCTCAGGCACAGCAAGGATTTCAAGCAGCCCCAGAAATAAATTAAATAAATATATCAAATAATTTAGCATGGAAATCATTAAAAGTGCAGCCTAAATTAATTAATATTTAATAATTAATATCATTAATAACATATAAAATATTGTAAAATGCATTATATAAAGTATATATCATATTATAAGCAATAAAATAATACATTATATATTTTAGATATTTTATTTTGTATCATATATAATATGAAGTAATATAAAATGCTATAAAATAATACAGAATATAAAATACTATATAATGCAGTATAAAGAATATCGAATAATAGAATGTAAAAATAAATGGATCATAAAATACTAGAAAATGCAATATATAAATATATAACATTGCATATATTATAAAAGATTGAATAATAAAATTGAGTATATAGAATATTATGTATTTTAATTAATATAATGACATTAGATACTATAATATATATCCAGAGTTTGTGGCAGGAATCTGGACCCAAATTTGGGAGGGGAGGAATATGAGGGAAAATGGGATTTATGCAGAATTTGTGGAACCCCAACCCAATTTTGGGATTGGAGAGGAGGAACATGAAGGAAAATGGGATTTATCCAGAATTTGTGGGAATCCCAATCCAATTTTGGGATTGGAGAGGAGGAATCTGAAGGAAAATGGGATTTAGCCAGAGTTTCTGGCAGGAATCTGAACCGTTTTGGGAGGGGAGGAACACAAAGGAAAATGGGATTTATCCAGAATTGGGAATTCCAACCCAATATTGGGAATTGAGAGATGGAATCTGGAGGAAAATGGGATTTATTCAGTGTTTGTCGCTGAAATCCCAAGCCAGTTTTGGGATTGGAGAGGAGTAATCTGGAGGAAAATGGGATTTATGCAGAGTTTGTGGCCGAATCCCAACCCAAATTTGGGAGAGGAGGAATCAGAAGGCGAATGGGATTTATGCAGAATTGGGAATCCTAACCCGACATTGGGATTGGAGAGGAGGAACATGAAGGAAAATGGGATGTAGCCAGAATTTGTGGAATCCCAACCCAATATTAGGAATGGAGAGAAGGAAGGTTTGGTTGCTCTCTTGGTGGAGAAGGTTTGATCGCTCTCTTGGTGGAGAAGATTTGGCCGCTCTCTCTCGGTGGAGAAGGTTTGGTTGCCCTTTCTCGGTGGAGAAGGTTTGGTTGCCCTTTCTCGGTGGAGAAGGTTTGGTTGCCCTTTCTCGGTGGAG